CTTACGTTAACTTACGTACTAGTACGTTATAGTATTAGTTACGTTAGTGTAGTAGTAGTAGTATACTACTACTACGACAGTACTATATATATATATATATATATATATATATATATATATATATATATTCATGTGTTGAAGTGGGAGCTTTATTCCAGGCTCTTCTGGCATGACCAAAAGTTTAATAGCAGGGCACACGAAGTAATAGCTATCATGATTTAAAGGAGAGTACCATTTCTAAAGCCACATTATATACAAATTAATTTAGACAGCAATACCTACCATATTAATATAGCCAACAATTTGGACAGTAGGCACATTTTCCTTTAGAGATGAAAATAGTGTTATAATCAACTGACATAATTCAGACATCAACTACTTCTTGACTAGAGTTCAGGTTATTAATATTCCTTGATTTTTTTCACACAGAGGAAATACTTAACCAAATTTCATGAAACATATTACAGACTTACAAGATCTACGTAGTACGTAGTTTTAGCTTTAAAAAAATATTTTATTTGATTTAGTACTTCTATAATCTTCTATGTTGTGCAATTTCTAAACTTTTGTTGTTAGAAACTGTTTTGAGAAAAACTTTAAAAATACTTCATTTAATGTTAGAATTCAATTCTTGTTATTGATGATCCAAAACTTGTATTTCTAGTCACTTTCAAGTTGATTTATGTTCTTAAAATATTTTTGATGCTTTATTTAGTTGTTGCACTAGTTACCACTTCCAACTATAAACTCTAAAAACCATCACAAAAACTGACAATGATTTAATGGTAATCATAGACCTGACCTTTCTAAATGGTGCCACAATCATCTTTGTCAAGCTAGGTATCACATTTTCATTCAAAATCCAGGGAGTTCATGCTAGCATTTGGATTTTAAGTCCTAAGGATGCAACGTCTTGGCAATGGATATGGCAAACAGTGTGGTTGAAATACTATTTCATACACTTTTCAAATGCTTAAAAATCTCTAAGGGACTAGGTATAGAATGTAATATTAAAAAATATAATAGGCCTAATACTAATGTTTTATGAAAAGTATAATTAATTATGATCATGTTTTGCCAGCTGGAAAAAGGTGTTCACACCATAAATATTGTTTTTGTAATAAATGGCTTATATAAATAGTGTTCCAACCAATACTGTATTTGATGAGCCATGGATTGAGTAAGACATCATCAGCAATGGATATGACAAAATAGCATGGTTGAAATACTATCATACACTTTTCTAATTCTTTAAAATCCCCTTAGATAAAGAATGTAATGTTCAGAAATATTATTGGCCTAATACTAATGTCTTATGACAAGTATAATTACCACATTATTATGCTCAACCATAGCATGGTTGAAATATTTTTCATACACTTTTCTAATTCTTTAAAATCCCCTTAGATAAAGAATGTAATGTTCAGAAATATTATTGGCCTAATACTAATGTCTTATGACAAGTATAATTACCACATTATTATGCTCCACCTTTCGCTCTGGAGCCATATTTTCCTCATGAGATGATTTGCTACTTGTTTCTGTGTTTACTGTTGAACAAAGTCCTGAAGTATCCTGAGTTGCTGATGTCTTGGATGATTCAAAAACTTTCTTTGCTGACCCTCCTGATAAGTCTATACTGTGATCACTTAAACATGACACTTCTGGTGAACTTGTCTCTTGTATTTTAACAGGAACTGGATCTTCATCACTTCCAATATCAGATCCAGGTCTTCGACATGGTTTGACTCGTTTTCGTTTAGGGGTGTGTGCCAGTTGTTGTTTCTGAGATTGATACTGAGTAATCACTTCTTCAACAACTGCACCATCCTGTCCATCAACTGCTAATCCTCTTACTTTAAGTGTTCTTGCAGTTTTCAACAAGGTTGACAACTGATCTTGTGATACATTCACTTCACCATGATATATGAAGTCAAGAACAGCTTTTAACTCAACATACTTAATATCTTTCATTATGATAACTGGATGCTTACAAGGATTTTCTTCAAAAATACTTTGAAACAATGGACTACATGCAGACAATACCATCTTGTGTGCTTTCATCTTCATCCCTTCACATACTAAAGTCACATCAACAAATAATCCACGGAAAAGAAGACTTTCAAAGAATGAGAATACATGGGAATGGTGGTCATTCCACTTCAAGCAAAACTGCTGGCTTCCCATTTTGTGTTAAAAGTGCCCAAGAACCTATAAAGAAAATTAAAGCTATAAACATAAGAACTCACATTAATACCAACTGTGCATGGCAAAACACGTAATAATAATAAGATAGATTATAATTTTACAAGTCTTTACTTCAGATGCCCTATGACCTTCTTAATGAAAACCCATATACAGTAAAAGAGGACTTGTTCAGAATTATCAGTCATATTGTGATTGAATGTCATACAAAGTGCCAATCACAGGATCTTGCTTCTTCAGTATAAGGAATTACATACCTGTGTTCTTATTGGAAATCCATATAAAGCATAAAGCCAGTAAAGAAAGATTTGTTCAAAAATTACTGTCAATCTTATTATAATACAAAATGTCAATTAACAGGTCATGCTTCATCAGTATAAATAATTCTTTAAAAAAAAAAAAGGATTTGTTAGAAGCTGCTAGTGTCTCACAATGTTTGCTCTAAGTTTCCATAATGTCTTTCTTGCCATAAACAGTAAAATAATGTTTTAAAATTACCATCAGACTTATTATGATGTTATACAAAATAGAGTATACTTCATCAGCATAAGGAAAAACATCTCTTAATCCTATGGACACAGGAGAGTCAAATTGCACACATGAACCTACAGAGGGGTTAGAGCAAAACACGCTATTTTTGTGATGTAAAAAAAATTACACTTATATAATTATAGCACAACTGCTTATGGTATTTAACATTTCTACACAGTATAAATTCTTCTTATGAAGCATTAGCATTTTTGGGCTTGAACTATTCCCATGCCCCAAACCCCAGGGTTATTAACATGCTTTGCATGCTGATTGTGCTTAGCACAGTATGTGTTGGCTTTAGATCTCGCAAATTAAACCCCACTTTCAAACATTCTGTGTAGAGGCCTAGTACATGTCACAATTTGTTTTTTAAGATTTAAGCACAAACTACACAATGGACTATCTTTACTGTGTTCACCACAGGTATTGAAACTCAGTTTTTAGTGTTATACGCCTTCAGACTTACCACTGAGCCACTAGGGAGGGGCTCAAATTTTTAGATTATCTAAATTTTAATTTCAAAAGTAAGTACTGAGATAAATGTTTAATCTGCACCTCTAAGTCACATGGCTGGGTGGTGCTCTGAAGTCTAATTTATAGATGTTTTTCTCTTATATGAGTTTCAAATTGTTTATCCACCTAAAAACATATACTACAGGTACTGACAAGCCAGAATATAAAATTTCAATTTCTTTTTCCATGACTAAGACATTCTATTTTAGTGCCTGATATATTTTTGTATTCTAAAAAGTATGTTTGAAAACATTAAATATTTTTTAGCAACCAAAATAGTGAAAAAAAAACAGGCTTGCTAAACCATGCACTCATGTGCAAAAGTAAGTGTTACATATGTTTTATGAACATTCTTTATTCATCATTCTAAGTCTTTCAACAAAATTATCTAAAATGTAAAAACTAGTAACTTATAACATTAAATAAAAACTTGTATGATAAAAATATTTATAAAACATTCTCGTGATCTCTCTTCAAGTAACACAGCTGTTACACCACCTTGTGATGTACCTGGATAGTTTGTTTACCCTACCCTCTCACCTGGCGATTTATTGCTTTTCATGCTAGTTAGACACAATTCAAAAAACAATAAAGCAAACTAAAATGAGAGTAGTTGTAATACAGTTAAGAGATCTAAAGCTACTATAATAAACAACTGTTAACTGTCTGTTACAATCTGTAGTCATTCTCAACTAAAAAAAAAAAAAAGGTATTTTTTGAATTTCATTTTGTACGTTTTATTCACTGTGCAATGATGATTTTGCTAGGTGTTAGGGTAGATAAAATAAGAGATAAAGCATAAAGTTTTATTGAAAAAACTTTTGAATATTCTAGAGGTTATGCATATGAAATTTGAAACTATATATTATAAGATTAAAATAAGTATTATTATTGTTACCATGAAAAATCACCTTTCATTCAGACTGACACAGTAAAGATTTTAAAAATACTTTATTCTAAAATCAATTTTTTGCTTAAAACAGACTTATAATGTTAACTAAAAGTAAAAACTTACATATTTCTTGAAAGTTGAAGATACACTTAGTACATTCAGAGTTATAGATATGTATAATTTCATGGTTACAATGTCCAAGCCCATCTCCAAAGGATTAGTCTTCAAATGAAAATTAACAACAACTCAAAATGTTAATATTAAAATTCTTCCAACCCAAAATATTAAAATATGTATAAAAGTAAATAACAGCAAAACTGACAAGATTCTAATGAAAAGAACCTTAACTTCACAGTTTGATATGTAGAGTGGAATATATTTAAGTTTTTTTTAACACAAAAGGGGAAGGAAGGGCTCTATAAATTTATATAAATGATGTGTCTCAACTCATAAATAATTATGTGTGTGTAGAGGAATGTCGAGAGCCAGCACAAGCACCGGGGCAAACATCATCACCAGGCCCCCCCTCTCTCTCTCTCTTCTTTTTTAACATTTTCAATAATTTATTAAAAAGAAGATCCTAAATTAAGACAGCAACGAGCTCATAAACCAGACAAAATCATAGCAGTAGCCATTTTTACCTCACAGTATAAGCATAAAAATGTTAATAAAGTAACAACAAATAGCTATTAAATCTAAAGTAACAAATACATATTAATTATTACTCAAATTATTATTTCAGTCGTTCTTAATGTATCAAGCATCTATATGCAAAGAAAAGCCAAAACTATGGTTTTTATCATTAAATGAAGATATAGCCTAAAGATGCATTGCTGGCTTTACGGCATAACCAGGTTTCATTCTCCCGGGCCCCTGAGCAGTTGCCCCCCTGTTGGCAGCCTGTGTGTGTAACACTGATGTCAAGTCTCTAATGACTCAATGAATTATTATTAACTACAAACTAAACTTTGGGTAAACTAAGTGCTACTATTCTGATTATAACATTATATAAAAAGTGAATGTTTTCAAGAAATGATAGAAAAGTTAAGTAGATAGAAAATTGATTTAATGATAAACAGCCAATTTAAAGACACGGCGTCAGGAAGAATGTGAGTATTACTATTAGTAGTAGGCCCTTTCACTAGACTTTACTACTAGTATTAGAAATTAGAGGTCTACTTGGAACACAAGCTATTGGTGTTCATTATCAGTTTTAACTTACAATTATATAACATTAACATCATAAGCATGTCAATGAATTGGATAGTTTATTATAACAATAAAATAATAATTAATACTTCAAAATTCGCCGACGACACGTACCGAGATTGAGAACGGCATGACGATGAGAAGAGAGGTTTCTACTATGACTCGAGTCAGAACGTTTTAAGTTTTTTGTTTTGTTTTTACAAGGGCTTTGATAGTATTACTAGTAAGGTATAGCCTATACTATAGTATAGGTGAAACACTGAAAAATGTTTTAAGATGGAGCTCACTCACATTCACCATCGTTAGGCATAGACTGCGTAAGTTTTTCACAGAAAATAACCAGATTAATAAAATGAAAATTAAATTAATTAAACATACAAGGTTCAAACTGATATTAGCCAAGCCTCTATAACAACATTCGTATGTATATTTTCTAAAATTAACATTAGAATTTAAGGTATGTCAACTTACAAAATCACACCAATGTCTTCGTATTACACTTTCAATCTGCGCGTACACTTCGATGGTTTCACAACAGCAAAATTGTTTCCATATAGGGGCCGTTAGTTTTATATTGAACAAAAAAATGAAGGATCATAAAACCACAATCAATTACTCGGGTTTGGATTTCAGCTTGAGAGGAAACAAAAATAAACACTTAAAATTATAATTTTCGAGTTCAATGTTCTTACATGCTTCTCATAAAGATGGAGTATTAATAACTCCTGACATATTTTGAAAATTCGATAAACATACTGTTGAGGCCAATTCGCATGTCTTAGTATATGAACGATATTGTTACTATCTACTTGTTTGTTAATTTCCTGTAGAAATTCTTTCCGAGAAACTTCAGCGATACAAGTCCTTTCTTGATTAAAATTAGTTTATTCTTTTTTGATACAAACTTTGTAATACACTTAACAACTTTTATAACATACGCTATAAATCACAGTGATTCATACACTTTACTTACGTGTCTACTTTTCCCTTGGCTCAATTATCTCTATCTTCAATCTACCTGCATATCTAACTCTACTATACATCTCTTCAATCGTGCTGGTTTTTCTCGCCAGGCTTATATACTGTTGCGTTAGCGAGTCACATGACTAGTGTGACGCCACGTTTCTAGAACTATCCCTACCTTGGCGAATGCTCTAGTATTTACTAGATATAGGGTAGTCTGGTATATAAAAGAGGGTGACAACGTGACGGGAGGATAATGTAATGTGTGTGTGAAGATAGTGAGTAATTGAACTGCAGTCAAAAGTATTATTGACGTTCGTTGATATAGCGTTTGTTTTAGCGCGATTGTTGAAAATAAGTGTATCGTAAAGTTGTATTCGGAAAGAATAAACCAGTTTTATTAAGTAAAGAACTTGTGTCGCTAAAGTTTCATCAGAACGAAGTTACGGAAAGTTAATTAACAAACGGAGACGTAACAAATTGGTGTCAGAGAGTGGGATAGGGAAAAAAAAAGAGAAGAAGATGGAAACGAGAGGCGAAAACTACAGCTCAGCAGATTTGATGGCAGCAATACAAAAACAAGAAAAGAAAAAAGAAGAACGAGAAGAGAAATTACAACAGTTGTTAGAGGAAAAAGAAAAGAAACAAGAAGAACGAGAAAATAAACAAGAACGAGAAGAGAAATTACAACAGTTGTTAGAGGAAAAAGAAAAGAAAAAAGAAGAACGAGAAAAGAAACAAAAAGAAAGACAACAGCAGTTACAAGAAAACCTACAACAATGGCAAGTCGAACAGCAAAGTAAACAAGAGAGACTACAGCAGTGGTTGGAGGAGAAAGAAAATAAACAAGAAGAGAGATTACAACAGTTGTTGGAAGAAAAAGAAAAGAAACAAGAAGAAAGACAACAGCAGTTATAAGAAAACCTACAACAATGGCAAGTCGAACAGCAAAGTAAACAAGAGAGACTACAGCAGTGGTTGGAGGAGAAAGAAAATAAACAAGAAGAG